TCCTATGAATAAATGTTGAAAGGAGCCAAGTAGTTTCTTTTGGTGTTTTCTAAGTAAATGGGCAGCATTATTTCTGTTCTTTCAGAATAAACTTGAATTTTCAGTTATTACAATTCTTAAGTCCTTTCAAACGGCAGTCTTTTCTGCCACACTTTCAATAAAATGTTATTGATATATCAGATGAGGTTGCATCACACAAATATTATGCATACTTCTAGAATGGTTAAGTTAATTTAATGCAGAAGAAAATAATCTAGTATCCTGTGACTATTGATATGCTAACTGGGTCATATGGGAGTTGTTATCTGGTTGTTTATACTTGTAAGTACATGTATTAGATTACATAACTTTCTTGTATCTGGAGGTGACACTTAAAAAATTGTCGTCAGAGGGCAATAGGAAATGTATCCAGAGATATCTTGATGTCACTGATATGGATGGGACTAAACTTTTTAAATACATGTTTACAGGGGAGGTTTAAGGGAAAACAAAGACTTAACAGCTCCCAAAATGGGGGAATTGACCGATTTTGTTGGATTTTCAGCTTTAAGAAGGAATTTTCCCGAGGGTCAAAATTTTAACCCTACCCATTCTGAAGGTGGTCTGGAGTCCATAAAAAGAATCAGGGCATATTCAACCTATAGGATATGGGATGTGTTCTGATAATCTGTATTAATATACTCTGAATCATGTTATTCTGGAATAATTTTTTCTGGGGTTCATGCACTTGCCTTCTATTTGTCTAATTAATATTTATTTGATTATTTATTGATAGCATTATTTCAAGTTGTACAGAAGAGAACACAATTGCTTGAAATTGTAATTCTGGCTGAAAATGACAACTCCTGTGAATTTTGATCAATTATGATCAAATAGCTGGGGATCCCCCTACAACATTGGGCAACCTTGGCTGCAGAAACAAAAGAAAGATACTTTCTAAATGAGAGTACTCTGGTAGAGTATTGTGCTATAGTGGAGAGGCCAGGTTTTCACAGCTGAGTTTTGGAGTTTCTCATTATATTAGTTTGTTAAAATAGTGTTCTAGCGTGGTTCTTGGACATTATGGGTCATTGAAACACCAGCTTATTGCACCTAGAATACCATAGCTTAGCTGCTTGTCACCTTTCTATATGTTGAGAGCCCCTTCATCTTGAAAATCAGGGCAAGCTTGTTTCAATTTAACTGTATCTTTTGCTGTTAATTACTAACTGCATTTCAAAGAAGTCAAGTCCTATTTTTCCATACATACAGAAGCTTGTGTACAAAAGTCTTAAGTACAAACTGGTAGTTGCAATGGCTGTAAAGGAGTGACGAGTAAGATTAAAGAACAGGAGTGAAAAAAGTTCCCTGGATCTAATACTAGCTTAACAAACTTGGTAGCTGGTGCAGATTGCAGGCTAGAAGCTGGCTTTTTCCATCTAGGCACCTGGTAAGTACAGAAGAGTTTTCACACACAGCTATCTCCAGAACTCAACTTTGGGTGTTTGAACTGCTGTTTGTTTGATTTCTTTCTTTTTCTTTTTGCCACAGGGAAAAATGGTTTGGAAAGCACTTCATGTGACAATTGTAAATAATTGTCTTTAAGCCTTTTCCAGTCTGATGCTAAGTATGTTTGGAATTCAGTTCCCAGAATCCCCCAGCCAATATGGAATAGTAACATGGGGACACCTATTTCATTTGGATTTGTCTTTCCTAATTCTCTTTCCTATGATTTTTTTTTTTCATTTCTTGCACTAGTCTCTCTATCCTTCTCCTTAAAAATAAGAGAGAAGATTATAGAGGTAGCCCCATAGCTTAAGTAGGGGATTGTAGCCTACTAATTGAAGATCAGCGCTCCAGACTCTGGCTTAATTTCTAGAACACCAGGTGTCTCAACTATTATTTATGTATATAGGTAGTCCTTGCTTAACAATTCTTCATTTAGTGACCATTCGAAGTTATGATGGCGCTAAAAAAGTGACTTACAACCAGTACTTGAAGTTACGAGTGTCACAGTGCCCCGCAGTCACATGATCACAATCCAGGCATGTGGCAACCAGCTCACACTTACAACCGTTGCAGTCTCCCAGGATCATGTAATCGTCATTTGTGACCTTCCCAGCTGCCTTCCGGCAAGCAAAATCAACGGGGAACTGCGTGATTCACTTAATGACCACAGTGATTTGCTTAACAACTGCGGCAAAAGTCGTAAAATCGGGTTCAGTCACATGATGATTTGCTTAATGACTGCATGCCTTAGTGACCTAAATTCCGGTCCCAATTGCAGTCATTTAAGAGAAGACTAACTGTACATACTATCATTTCAGTTCTCTTATGCATCTGAAAGGATAAGTTTTAAAAAAAACCTTTTTGACAAACATATAAAAAAATAATAAATTTCACAACTGTCTAATAGGTTTATAGAACGGTGAATGGTCTGACAAGAATAAATAGGTTGAGAAACTGGTGAGTTACAAGTTGACCAAAAGAAAATACTTTATGCATTATGTAGCCATCCAGTATTCTGTCATGAGAGATAGTTGATAGCCCCTAGTTCTACAGCTTCATGAAAATCTGCATAAATTAATGACAAATTTAGCAGTGGCCCTGATGACTAAAAATGGAATCTAGTGTCTGAAAGAATGTGCCTTCAGCTGAAAGACCCTTGGCACAATCTCTGGGGATCAGTTATCTCATTGTGACATCTGGCTGATGACTGTTAAAGGAAGATATTTGGAAAACATTGCAAGCAATGGCAAAACTTTTACAGGTGGCTAGCATGCTTTCCCCCCACCTTCACCCCCATCAGTATTCCTGACAACAGACTTAACAGAATTGTGAAAAATAAAACTGTAAAACTTTATCCCAGAAATCTAGGGGGAAAAATGACAATCCTCAACCATATATGTGTCACCCACATATCTGTTCCATTTTACATCATTTCCCCCTCCACTATGACACTTAGCTCTCCAAAAAGACATTGTATGGTCTTAAGGTGACCGTCCCATCTACTTCATCTCTTGGACTATCCCTTTGGTAATGCACCATTGATAGCAGTCTTTCAGAATGCTACTAAGTGTGACTGCTTATTGTAGAAGTTTTCAGAAAGTACGCTGACTATCCTGAAGCTTTAGGCTAGCATTCTTATGTGGGGCAATCTTTTACTGAATGTATCTGTTTGGGGGGAAAAATCTGGGCTTTAACCAACTTTGCCTGGAAAATAAAATTTCTCTGTGAGAATGCTCATTACATTATTCCTATAATTGTATTTGGGGGAGGCACATTTTAAACATAAGATACTTTGAAGTCTCATGCAGAAGGAATGTTTGTAAAGTAGAGCTTTACAATCCATAATCACATAGCTACTCATGATTTGCAAGCCCTGCTTTTGAATTTGACAGCAGCAAGTAGATGAAAAAATAACTGTCTGAATGTTGAACAGTTTACTGATGAATATTGTCAAGAACTACACTGTTGGCAAATGCATCTGCAGCACAATCTGCACAAACAAAAGTAAACAACGTCAGTCTGGAACAGATATAATGCCACAAATACCAATGCAGTGGTGTTTTATTTCTTATTACTGGAAGATTTTCCTTGGGGACTACAAGGTCCAAATGCCAAAGTTTGGGAAGCCCAGAGATATTGCCAGCATACTTACTTCAGCAACTCTCTTAACAGCCTTAACCTCAACAAGAGTAGGTGCTTGAAGGAGAACAGAAGGATCATCTCATGCAAGATATTCTTTCATACAGGTAGTCCTCGGGTTACGACAGCAGTTGAGAGTGGGATTGCCATTGCTAAGCGATGTGGTCGTAAAGTGCGACATCACGTGACCACATTGATTAGTGATGGCAATCCGGGGCAGTCCTGGTTGCCATCGTAACCTCAAAACGTGCAGATCATTAAGTGGGAAGAGGCGGGAGTCCCAGGTAGAGTGTGGGGCTGCCGCAGGGGGGTGGAGGGAGGGCCAATGTAGGCCACGTAGGAACCCGAGGGAGGGCCAGCACAGGCTGCATGTGGGGGGGGGGTGCTGCGGGTGGAAGAAAAAGGAGCGACTTACTGGAAAGACTTGTGACCATCCCTGCCAGCTTCCTCATTGAGTTTGCTTGTGGAAAGCTGGCAGGGAAGATTGCAAATGGTGATCATGTGACTGCAGCTCCCTGCAATGTTGTAATCACAAGCCAGGCACACAAGCACCCAGATCACGATCATGTGACCGTGGGGGTGCTGCAGTGGCCAGAACTTTGAGGACTGGTTGTACATCCATTTTTTCAGCGTCACTGTAACTTTGAACAGTCATTGAACAAATGGATTTAAGATGAGGATAACCTTTACTTAAAAGTCCATTTTAGTATGATTAAGGCCCATAGTGGTATTTCCAAGGGGCAGTGATAAGTGGGCTGACACTGAAAAGCAAAGTGGTTGGCGGATATGGCATTGACACCCTCTTCCCTGATGTCATGGAGACTTTAACAATACAATTACATCAAATGGTTGTATCTAGCTTAAAGGTGCAGTTTGGAACATTTCTGCTGCAGAGAAACTGGAGTATAACCATTCCCTGAAAAAAAAGGTATTGTTTTTTTCTGGGTTATTTATTATTAATCAGTAGGGGCAACGTGTCTTAAAAACAAACTATGCCATATGTAATCTTTTCCAAAAATCACAGCTTTTTCTGAATCTCTGTCTCCAACATCACACAAACCTTACATGGCTTCATAAAAAAATAAAAATTTGAACACCCACCTATAGTAGTAGTGGAACTTACAGGATACCTGTAATAACTTGCAAACATTCATTCTATTTTCTCTGTCAGACACAACTGCTTTGGTCTTTGATACACTGATGTAAAAACGCCCAGGTTACAGACAACCCATAGTTAAAAAGGGAGCATATTGTAGCAAAATTTGAGTTAAGTATACAATTATTTGAGTTAAATACAGATTGGTTTGAGTTAATTACACAATACTACTTATACACTATTTTACAATAATGCTGTTCCGACTTACGTACAAATTTGACTAAAGGACCGACCTTGGGAACAGAACTCATTCTTAAACTAGGAACTACCTGTACTCTTTATTGCATCGTACAATTAATCAGCCAACATGGCATTTTCTGCATACAAAAGTACACACATGTCAGTTTTGAGATGTCACGGGTGCAATGAAACCTTAGTTTTACCCTGGCATCCTCACATCTTCTGTGCAAGCTAGGATTTCTAATATAGACTGCCTTGCAAACCAACATGTTATTTACTTTGTAGTACTGAAAAAAACCATTAAGAGTCATATATGCCGTGCTGTTAGGAAAATAATTGTTTTATGTTCAGCTTTAATCATTCCAAAATTTCACATTTGATTTTAGGAGAAAACTTTATTGTAATTGTTGCGGGAGCGAATTTGCTTCTGAATTCTGATGATTTAAAAAAGGCTGCTCATGTCATCTCTGAAGCCAAAGTGATGGTCTGCCAACTTGAAGTAACCCCAGCTATTTCTTTAGAAGCATTAAAAATGGCTTATACCAGTGGAGGTAATCTAATAATGTGAATGAATTATATGCTACATTCCATTAGTGGTTTCTTTAATGTTCTTTTAATGTAGTTGTGTTTCAAAGCCATTTTAAAACATGGTGGTGCCAAGAAAGGTGACTTAAATTCAGTCACTAGAGATATAATCTCATAAACAATTTGGACAGTGAAGAACAGTTTGAATTTCACTTGGATTGGCATGGATCTGGTACTGTGTGAACCTAGTTCTTGTTTCTTGTTACTTACTGAGTGTAATTTCTGATTAAGCCAGAGTAGCAAATAGCTTCCTTAGCAGAAGAAGAAGACATAAGATCATTCAGTGAAATAGATCCTGGTTTATAGATCCTTATTCTGTATCTGTGGTAATACAAGATGCCTTGTGCTTGCATGTTATCACAACTTCCCCACACACTTCTTTCTCCTTTTCCTACTGACAGTTGATACCAGGTACCTTATTTACCCGAAAGGAAAACATCTCTGAATTTAAGATGGCCTTTTCCAAAAGTCCAATTAGAAATAAGTTTTTTTTCTTCCATTATCATATTCTGAGATAAGCCTCCCATTTTAAAGCTAAATTCTTTGAGTGAGAAATTTGAGTCTTTTTTTTTTTTTTTTTTTGTAAACATAATATCTAAAAGATTTATTTCACTAGTTCATTTGTTTCAGTGGTGCAGAATGTCAAACAAGTATACCTAAAATTTGGGAACAACTTCATACACTTGACAAAGTGGCCCATTTCATAAGAAGTTAATGCCATAATCTGAATGTTAATCTTTAAAATGCTAGAAAATCCTTTGTGCTGGTTGATTGATTGATAGGAGAAAAGAAGATTTAATCTTCCCTTTCTTCAGGGATATGTGTAAATGACAATAACTCCAAATTCCATTGCATGAGCATAAAATATATTTGAAATTAATGCAGGAGATTTCCTCTTCAAGAGAAGCTATATAGAAGCCTGTTGCATACACCAGTAAAATTCTGTCCAGCTCTGCCAGAAATGACAGCGAAACATGTTGAATGGCCTTGTATAATGAAATCTCTGTAAACCCTTTGCTAATACAGCAACAATCTTTAAAACCCTCACAGCTGGAGAGTGTTACTGGCACTTCCTTTCCTTTAGTCTGCCGATTCTTATGTTTAATGCAGTAGTTTATGTTCGGAAGCACACTAGACCATGTGTGTTTAACAGATGCACACCCAGATGCCAGGCTCAGAAGAAAGAGGGAAGTGAGGAAATGGAAGCTTGTGGCTATAAGCCCTCTTGTCCCCATACACTTGTGTTGGTTTTATAAACTACACATTGACAGTATTATACTTGCTGAAGAATCATTGTCCTACTAGTAGTCATTAAAGATCTCCCTAGCAGCTTTTCTGTCAGTGCTCCAACGCTGAATGGAAAAACATTGCTCCAATGCCATAGTACTAGCCTAATTCCAAAACACATTGGAAATATTTATAGGTCAGTAATTGCAGACCATGCTTGGACAACAGCTTAGGCTCTGCTTGGTTTCAAAGCTTCCTAAGTTTAATATTCCTTTCAAAGTTGAGAATACTAGATCCATTTGTTTTAAACAAAAGGAAGAATTAAAGAAATTTTCCCCACCCAAATTCTGATGCAGCCCTCACCTTTTTTCACATAAAGAGTTGGAATGACACAGAGAGAAGGGGGATATGATGGCTATGGGCATGCATGTTATCAAATTCTGCAAGTGATTTGGATTCCATCAGGATTAGGTTCTGGTTTTGCCTGTCATAGTTCTAAACTCCCACTGACTTATTCCCTGGGTCAGAAGTCAGGTAACTGGAATAAAAATTGCTCACTGGGTTTTTCTAATCTAGAATATATTCTTTTTTTATGTAAAATAGTGGTTCATATTAGCTTCCCTCCAATCTGAGGCTTCTAACTGGGATGAGAATGAAGTTTCAGAATTCCCAGCAGAAAAATGCAAAGTGAAGTCCCAATATATCTGGGATTAATGTTGTGCTTTGTTCTTTCTTAGAATTCTGTTAACTCGATGTTTCTATACATGTCTGAACTGAAATCAGCAGCAACAAAAATCTACCTTATAATTCTTAGAAATTCAGTCTTCAGGAAATGCTAAATAAATCCTAACTTCTGTTTTTCAAATTCAGCCAAGCCTTCATTTTCTTCTTCATTTTCTTCTTTTTCTTTCACGGCAGAGGCATGATGATAATATCTGAACTAAAGTATTCTGATGAAATCCTTAACTAAATCATTATCATTGCACTAACAGTGCTTTATAACAGCAGAAAATAGGATATTTTTGGTTAGATTGTTTGAGTCAGCAAGTAATTTGTATATGTGGGGGAAATGTAGAGGTGAAAATGCCTTAAGCATAACAACAAATAGTGTTTGTTCAGTTGTAGGCAATTATATTTAAGCAAAATGTGACATTGACTTTAGACAAAATTTTCAATTCTCTTACAGTGAAGACTTTGTTTAATCCTGCTCCAGCAATTGCTGACCTAGATCCACAGTTTTACACTTATTCCAACATCATCTGCTGCAATGAAAGTGAGGTAAATATCATTATCGTGACTTTGAAGAAATAAAACTTTGAGGGTATCATAGTGCAAGTAATGGATTCAGATTGTGAACATTTTGATTTTATTTGCAGTTGCATGGCTAGCAGCAGACTCAAAACAGATACATTCTTAAAAGACCTCTGTCAACAGCACATTGCCCAGAGTGTCTTTTCAGAGCTGGAACAAATTAATTTTGTGCTCTTGGTCCTAACCTCCTTTATATTTTGTAAGCTGCTTAATTGAGAGTAACATTTATACAGGTAGTCCTGACTTAATGACCCTAATTGGGACCAGCAACTCTGTCGCTAAGCAGAGTTAAGTGAAATGTGAAATGTCACGTGACTGCTCTGCTTAGCAATGGCATTTCTGACAATGCCAGTTGCTGTCATTGAGCGAATCCCATGCAGTCATTAGGTGAGGAGCCTCCTGGATCCAAGCCATTCTTGGAAGAAGGTAAGGGACTGCCTCTATTTCAACTTCCCCCATCCACCTATCTCCTCCCCATCTCTGCCCTTTTGGCTGCCCGCCCACCTACTGCCACCAGCTGCCCTGGCCCTGCCCTCTGCACTGCACTGTGTGTCACTACTGGCCAGAGCCTCCTTTCGTGCCACCTTCTTTTGTGCTGGCCTTTTTTCACATGCTAGCTAGGTCCTTCTTTTGTGTGCCAGCCAGAGCCTCCTTTCTGCTCCTGCACAGCCCGGGCCTTCTTTTGTGAAAGGAGGTCTTGGCCAGGGCACAAAAAGGCACTGGCCAACATGCAAAAGAAGGACCTGGCCAGTTGTGGTCCGTGGTATGGCACACACCTGCTGGGTTGTGGGACATTTTCACAGCCGCTCCCCCACGTGTGGCCAGGTTGGTGAACCCAGTGGAGGGGAAGCTGGCTAAGACAATGAAGGTCAGCTGGGGGAGGGGCGGCAGCAGCAGTAGGGTGATCGTAAATGCAGGCAGGCTTGAATTTTGTTCATGCGACCATGGGGGCACTGCGATGGCCAGAACTTCGAGGACCGGTTGTAAGTCCCTTCATTCAACACCATCGTAACTTTGAACAGTCTCTGAACAAATGGCCACTAAGCAAGGACTACCTGTAGTGACCAGCTATGCTTTTGAAATCTAGTTCACGTCATCTTGCCTCCACACTGTGTTAAGTCCAAAGAACCCATATCCAAGTCTAGCTCTTTAGCTCCTGTAGCTTCTGTGAATAGAGAGGTGTTTTGAACATGCTCTGTTGATTGTACAACTTACACTTTTAAATGAAAATAAGCAACTTTCTATGCTTTTATGTCTAGTTTTCACAAACACAATTGGAAAGCTTTTGAACCTTTAAAACTTTATTTACACAGTTTGTTGTGCAAACTGGTATTGTGGTATTGTGGTATAAAATTTCAAGCAGAACTAGGAATTTACCATAAGTCTTCCATATTTGCCTGTTTCTGTTGAAAGAGGAACAGTTTGCCACACAGTCAGGCCTCACATGTCTAAAATGTTCAGAAGGCAAAACTTATTTATATAGAAATAATTATTCTGTATTTATATAGAAAAGGGAGGGGGAATAACTGCTCTGCCAATCTCCTTTTAAAATATTTGCGAAAATAACATTCAGAGTGTATCAAAACTAGTGTTCTAGTTTAAAGGGAAATGGAAATTTATGCCCCATTGTCAGTGCAAAGTGTGAAGTTTCTGCTGGGTGCCTTATTAATTAGTATAAAGTACAAGGAAATGTCCATTTATGATTGGCTGATAAGAGAAACTTCCCGTCTAATGCCATGACTATTATTTATCTTTTCAACACCAGAACCGTATAATCAGTCTGTGACATTCTGAAGCCTTGGAAGCATCAAATGTTGCAAATTCTTTCATGTTAGCGGTATCACCTCAATATTAGATAAAAGTGCATGCTTCATAGTGTTGGTCTGCTGAACATTGTGAATGCTTTGGCAACCACAGATACCCTGTATTCTAAAACATTTTGTTCCTTACGCATTTTTGTGCTAGGATGAAGCAAAACCAGAGGTTTGATATCAGTGGCCTGCCTACCCACAAAGGACATTTCACAAGCTGTGGCTTTTATATATTTTTAACTCATTGCTTTAATAATAACTATTATTTGTGCAATTTTAATTCTTCATTCACAGTTCATGCATATGTATATTACAAGTTTATCAGCTCCTGATTTTTTGCTTAGCTTGTCATTTGTTTGTTTTTTTCTCTCTCTCTTTTTCCCAGAAATGATGAAGCCTGTTGAAACTAGCTTGTTAATTCACTGTGCACCAGATGTAGCATAACTTAATCCCTGAGGTTTGCCCAGGAATGTGCTGGTTCTCTTTCTCCTTAATACTTTTAATGAAAGAAATGCAAAATAAGTAAATCAAATTTAGGGCCTGTGTGAAAGCCAAACTTCAGGCCGTGTGTTGCTTAATAATTTTAAACTGCAAGGAAAATGGTTACATCATCAGTTTCTGTACTATCCACATTAGAACAGGGGGGGAAAAAACACGAGTGCATGTTCTCTAAGAGCATTCAGCCTCAGAATTAAAAAGCAACATGGAGGGTAGATGCATGTTTGTTAAACAACATTTCTCTTGTTCATATAACTACTTCTTAAAGATGGAAGCAAATTCATTTGATTCAGGTTTTAATATGAACTAGTCCACGATTATTCTTCAGGATTTGGACTCCTCCAAATTTCATGACACACTAATCTAGAATGTGCAAAAGCCATATATTAGACAAAACTGTCTGTAGAAATGCATACATTAGGAAAACATTGGCAAAAGGCCTATATTGAGAGAAAGTTGTTGCAAAAATAGAAGTCCATAAAATGTGCATGAATATGTATACAAATTTTTGTGAGGATCTTTTGAATAACAATGTGCATGCTAATGCAGAAAAGTGAGAGAACAAATATTTGTCAGATTTATACCCTGCCTCTCATTCAGGAGCTCAAGACATTGCCCTCCTTCCTTTTTTTCCCCACAGCAACAACCCTGTGAGGTTGGTTAGACTGAGAGTAACTAGCTCAAAGTCATCTTGTTAAGCTGCTTGAAGAAATGGAAATATTATATGCAGTAAAACAATTTTTGGGGCATTTCTGTGACTTTACAGAAAAAAGATGTAATGGGGAGAGCAAAATCTGCTCACTTGCATTTATGTTTTATATATAGCTCTATATTATAGTGTTATAGTATTATAGTCTATATAGCTCTCTCTCTTTTTTTTTTGACGTAATTTAGTACTTCTGATCATTGTATTGGAATTTGAAGTTAAACCTGGAGTATGAAACTTGTTTATGATCCAGAATATATAAGGAACCAATGCAGCTTATAAATACTGGATAAGCCATAGGTATCTGATTCAGATGAAAAGAAAATGTTAATATAATCCACAAAATTGTTGAATTATGCTATGGAAAAGGAGGAGGAGGAGGCGGGACCATACTTTCTAAACAGGCTCTTAGATTCTCAGACTTTTGCCTAGGGTAGAAGGCAATATTGGTAGGCAATTTCATTACTTAGCTGACATGAAGGTATAGTTTATACACTGTCTTCATTAGTTCAGATGTTCCTGTGATTTCTCCAGGTACGTCTGCAATGTCCTCTTTAGGAAACAGACGTGCTTAATCATTATTTCAAAGATTTAGCAATCAAATATTTACATGGAAGTGTGAGTACAGCCAAACAAAGAATTAGTTTCAATGTAGGTTGTTCCAGGTTTGAGTCAATGTCTGCATTTTCAGTTTAAGTGCTTGGTTTTGCAATGACAGCTTTGCATTACTAGATATATTGTTTAGAAACTTACATAGATTAGCACCATAAATAATTTGGAACCACATTACTTTAAACATTTGTTCATTTCTCTTTAAATGTTTTATGCTGTTAACAAAAGGGGATTTTTTTTTTGTGCCTAGTGCTGTAAACTGTTAAAAAAATATCCTCCTAGGCCTCCTGCTATTGTGTTTTATTTCTCTTTTTAAAAGCAGCCATTAGTTGTTTCCTCCAATTGTACGTTGTTGTTGTTTTTAATTAAAAATTAGAGAGAGGAACTTTCCAACACAACCAGCAGTTTTATGTTGAATTTCACAATTGAGACTTGGTAATACATTTTTACTTTTGGCACGCACCATCTGTCTGATATCTGCTACCTTAGCAGGAAAGTGTCTCTCAGATTGTTCCATAGTGTCCTGATTTACCCCTGTTCCCTCAGTTGCTGCATGCAGCTGGAGGCATTTCTCTGCAGAATGCAAATACAGCAGAAACTCCTAAAAGAACAGATATTTTGATAAATCCACAACCACAGCTGTATGTGGCAGCATGTAAGGAGAAATAGACAAGCATTGATCAAGAACTTTGGGTACTCTCTGTGCTTAAAGAAACACCCAACATAGGGCTGGGCATACTTTAAGAATGTTTTAGAAGAGGGTTCAGAACTTTGTGCAAGCACAAGTTCTTTCTGCTATTTATTAAAGCAGCCAAGTGTTCCCCCCCCCCCCCGGTTTCTACAGGAGACAGGAAAAAAAAGAGATGGCAGCTGCTTTAATGAATTGATTCATTAAAGCATCCATGTCTCTTTTCAGGATCTTGCAGAAGGCTGAAAAGATATTTTGTTTTAATTAGTAGCAGAGAGGTGTTGCATTTGCATGAGTTCTGTAGCACTTATTCCTTATAATTTTTGAAGCATGCACAAATGTAGTATCTGCTTTGTATTTCACCATTCTTCTAAATCCTCATTGTGATATTGTTGGATGTTTTCCTGCTTGTTTGTTTGTTTTTAATCTTGAGAACTGCCAGGATTACTGCTACAGAATTTTGTTCCTTTTGGATGAGGGAATACTGGACTTGCTATTAATTTAAAAACAGACATTGAAAGCACAAATATCTTTACAAATCAAATTCCCAAGGAATTGTTTGGACCCCCTTCGAAACTACATCCATTTGGTCAGATAATTCAATATAGAAATATTTCTTGCTACCTCTGTGACATTCAAAACCTCTCTCTTAAACACCAGGTCTCACCCATCCCCAGCTACAGGTAGTCCTCGGTTAACAATGGGAATTGGGACCAGAATTTCCATTGCTAAGTGATGCAGTTGTAAAGAGTGATGTCACGTGACTGCATCGCTTAGCGACAATTCCACCACCCCTACTGCTGTTGTTAAGCAAGGATCACAGGTCATTACGCAAGTCCCAGGAGACTTGCAAGCAGGCTGGCAGGCAGTTAAGGCATGGAGCGCAGCGTGGGCGGGGATGGCAGCTGCTGGGCAGGGGAGGGTGCAGGAGTGCAGCAGGGCTGGGGGTGGCTGCAAGTGACTTACCAGAATGACTTGTAACCTTCCCTACTGGCTTCCCCATTGAGTTCGCTTGTGGGAAGCCAGTAGGGAAGGTTACGAATGATGATCACATGACTGTGGGACGCTGCAACCATTGTAAGTACGAGCTGGTTGCCGGTGCCCAGCTCACGATCATGGGATCACGGGCGTGCTGTGACAACCAGAATTTCGAGGACCAGTCATGAGTGTCCTTTTTCAGCACTCTCATAATTTTGAACAGTTGCTGAACAAATTGTTAAGGGAGGACTACCTGTATAGAATCAGATGGGTAGTAAGTCATGCTTTTCCCTCATACACATTCCCCTGGAATTGGAGAAATAGTACACTTAATTTCAAACTAATTTGGATTTACCAACCATTCCCAAGGTGTCTCTTTAAAGCCGCACCCTTTAAGTGAGAAGCAACATACTTTTCTCTATAGTTATTTAGAGTACTGCTTTGAAGAGCTGCCTCCAGGAAAATTGGCAGGAAGGTTGGGGAAAAGTTTAACCTCCATTTGGGACACTTGAGACAAGAAAGAACCCCAAGGATAGTTTTCCCAGAAGCTGCTATTCAAAGCAGCCCATTAGGCAAAGCAGGGGTGAAACTCTCACCTCTCTTGAATGAGAGCCTTGTAATAGAACTCTTTGAGAATCTCAATTGTAGAAGCTTCATGATAATGTCATTGTATTATCTACATCTAAAAATATAGCCTGTTAGCATATCACAAATGTGCTTTCATTCACTAAATGGGAAGCTTTACTGTGTCGCAACTTTGCCAAATGTACATGGACTTGTTCCTGTTAGCCTTATGAACTTTACCTGAATAGATTATTTGTTTATAACATTATTACCATGAATCTGAGTCAGTCAGTATTACGAGAGTAATAATGATTTATTCATCAATGCCCCTAAGGAGGGCCCAAGGAACTATTTGGGAATTTGCTCTGTGGAACCAATTAGGCTGTCCGTGTCCATTTCTAAACATACCAAATAGGAAGTCCAGTAGTCCCTAGTCCAAAGGAAACAAAATTCTGATATTTCTATTCTTCCATTACAACTAGACATACCTGCTCCCTCTCTATTTGATACTATCAATGTTATATATTTACTTTATAGAACTGATTGTTGAACAACTTGATCAGAATTTTAATATATGTTTTTTGTAAATGCTGTTGCTATTCAGGTACACTTTGCTTTCTTGTGTACATATTTGGCTTTAATGTTTCTTTCAAGGCAGAAATTCTAACAGGAATTGCAGTTGGCAATGCTGGAGATGCTGGACAAGTTGGACTTAAATTGTTAGAGAGAGGCTGTAGGACTGCCATTGTAACCTTGGGACCAGATGGTTGTGTGATAGTCTCCAAAGAGGAACCAGCTCCTAATCATGTTCCTGTCACAAAGATCACTGCTGTGGATACCACGGTATGTGTTATATTTTAAGTCTCATTTTTGATTATTCATTTGAGCATTAATAACCCTCAGTAATAAATTAAATCTTTGGGTGATTTTGGATGGCTGCTTTTCTGTGGCTGCCCCTACCTTATGAAATACCCTCTCCCTGGTGGTCTGGCAGGCCCCCACCCTTTTAGCCTTTCCAAAGGCCATCCAAAAGCCTTTCCAAAGACCTGGCTTTTTACCCAGGCGCTGGGATAGAGCAAGGATGTCTGGAGTTGGTTGTGGGGCATCCTGAGGGAATGATTGAGGTGCTGGGTTTTATGGTTTATGGTTTTTATAGTTCTCAGTTATATTGTTGTTGTGAGCCACCCAGAGTTCTGTTTTAAGATGGGTGGCCATACAAATCTTTTAAATAAAATAAATAAAATATCATCAGACTGTTGCCATCTAGCCTATTATACAATGAATGTGAGTTCACCCAGGGTTTATAGGCTGGTGTTCTTTAGATAGGCCAGAGAGCAGTGTGTACTTACGATGTTATTTTAGGCTTCCTTCATCTTTCTGTCTCTTCTGTATTGCAACAGTAATGTTCTTATTACTTGTGCAAGATGGTGACATAATCCCTCAGCACCTTCACTTCAGCCACCTCCTGTCTGTGGAAAAAGAAGGGAGACGCCCAATAGTTCTCTGGCTCCCCCAAATTGAATAACTGGTTGTGTCCTCACATGCCTAAAGTGTATGTGCTGGCAGAACCCATGGCTTTGTAGAGCTTAAGAAGTATCAGGTGCTTAACTTCCACAGGGCATAGTTAAAAGGCAGAAGCAGCATGCCATGCCAAATTAATTTTCTTGTGATTTGTATGGCCAGTAACTTTAGCATTCCTGTACTGGAGAACTGGGGGTTCTCTGTCCTCTCCTCTGTTCTTTTCCTGTTTATAATCAAATGCTGACTGAAGGGTGAAATGTTACAATTATTAGTAACAGCCCCAAAGAAGGACAGTAGTTAAGTTCCTGTTTCGCAGGTTTATCTCACCCACATTTACTACGCTGGGACATCTTGTACTGTTTTTTCTGATGTAAATGCAGAACACTTCTGGTGATGTTGCTGAGAGCACTGTATGTACCAGCTATACATTTTAGGTGCTTGATGTCATGTGTTTTTCTTGAAGCAATTGTAACTTTTTGTTAGAGGCAAATCACAGTGCTGTTATGCACCTAAACCAGAATAACTGGTTTAATTCAGGGGGAAGCAGATTTGATCAGAAGTAAACAAACCTGTGCTTATATTGTTTAATTGTACATCAATTTGTGCACAAGTAGGTAAGATACAAAGGGGCAGGCAAATATTTTCTGTTCATACACTTGAATGGAATTTTTCTCAGGAAAACAGCCCTAACTGCCAAATGCCCAACAACAGGCCTTAACAGCAGGATCTGCAGAACCTAAGGACAGAGAACTTGCATAGCTACGTAGATTTTTCTGAGCATTTTCTATCAGAGGTTGTCAGCTTCCAAGTTTGAAATACCAGCTCATGAGTTCACATTGACATAAACATAAGTTCTGTTTGCAGGTTCTTCACGTGTAACCACTTTGTTTTTCCTTAGGGGCAACTGCTTCATATGTTGGTTTGGGAGAGTCTGCCCCTCAGCCTTGCATCTCCTCAATTGTTGTGTTTGATTGAATACTTTCCTTATTACTACCCTGCCAAGATGATAGTTTCCCTGTGTTTCTGCAAGTTTTTCACTCCTCATGGTCAGCATGGAAACCAACTTAGAGACTTGGTTGTAGCCTTCTTTATAAGGCGGTTTATCAAAGAAGTGCCAGAACTGTTGTCCTTTGAAATTTCACTGTACTTGCTAAACTGAGTGGCGAATCAAAATCCCTGGAAATTACTCTCTGGAAGCCATATTTTAAAATCTTGAATGTGACCTGCTTACCACAGGAATGAGGGATATGTATTTTTAATATGCTAGGAAACACTTTCTTCTTCACATGTCCCAGGATTGTCCCAGCGTTGAAAGTCAGATCCAGAGACTGTGATTTCAGACTGAACTCAGGTTAATGTAAAAGTGCTTGTATTTGGGGTTGTGAATGAAAGTTCCTATTGTTTGATTAAGCAATACATCTTTTTATCATTGATGTTTTAACAGGCAGTCTTCCTTTGTTTTGTTTTGTTTTGGTAAAGTGATACTCTTTCACACTTTTTAATCCACGAGAATTCTTTCTTTCTGATTAAGCTAGGAGTTTTCATAGCCAGATTTTTACTGATTAGATAACACTGGAGGGCTGTAATGATAATTTTGCAGGTTAGTCACCTAACAGAAGTACTTGAATACCTTGCTTTATTGGCTCATGGTCAAGAAAAATGTAAAAGTTACTTCCACTGATAATACTCAACATTGACTACTTAGCGCCCCCTTTCATTTACAAATGAAGCTAATTAAATAGTTTCATAGATACCATACCAAATTATTAAATGTATACTTACCTCAGAGTAGTTTTGAAGCTAAACAAAACTACTGTAAACCTCAGCTTCTCTTCAAATTCGATCTCCCACTAGCCATAATCTGAAATTATTTTAGCCTATATCTGTGTAAGAAGAGGCTATCTGATCAAAACCAAGCACCCATCTGGTAGAGAACACTATTTCTAACAACAGGCAACAAGGAAAACCCACAGATGGATCATGAGGGCACTAATCCTCCCATTTCCTTTGTTTTCAGCATCTGAATTTTAGACATACTTTCAGTATTGGTTGAAGTCTTTGGACAAAATCTTATGCAGTTACCACTGTCTCTCCACTTTTGTGACTATGTAAACGCCTGCCTACTGGATTCGCTCTGCACCAGCAGCAAAATTCTGTTACAGATATTACTGGTTAGCTCAGAAAGGCCCACTGTATAGGTAGCAAGAAAGGGAGAGTAGCAAGGCTAGGATATTCCAGGTACTGCCAATGCATGGATATAGGGTTATGGTCTTTAGTAGGTGCTGCTGTTATCAACTGCAGTGATGTCTTCATAACCATACAACCTGGAGCTAGTGGTTGTTGACCTGAAAAACAGATCAACAAACCTGTTATAGCATAAGTTTTAATGGAATAGAGTCCATTTGATTGTATACATGAAGTGTTATCCTCGGTTGCAAATGTGTATGACAGAAGGTGGCAACATCTAGATGACCTTGGCTAATCCCAGAATGCTAATCAGGGTGGGCCCTAGTTGGTACAGGAAATGCCAGGACTATAGGCTAGATTCAGAATTCAGGAAAGTCCCAGAAGGCAGCAGCAAGCCACAGTCATATTGCTAATCTAGGAAAACTACATGGTTGGAATTATGAGAACCACTGCATGCAGATCATTGGAGATAATAATTAAGGATGTACAAAACATTGCATGCATGGATCATTCCATACATAGAGCATTTAGTTTTCAGATGATATATCTCTGGATCAAAACACATGGGTTAAGGATTATTGTCAATTTGGTGGTCTTACAAACTGAAAAAATAGAAAAAAAATAAAAATAAATATTATGGGCAGAATTGTTCCAAGGTGGGAAACAATGGGAAAAGGGCAAGGCCATCAGTAGTATACAGCAGCTAAGGGAAAATAGGAACAGCATGGGAAAGACTGGTGAGAGGAACCACAGATAATTTGGATTATACCACACTTGAATTTAAGCAGACCATCCAGAGGAGGAGGGGAAAAGGGGCCAAGGCACACTAGCCTTGCCCTATTTGCCCATAAGATCCTCCTGGATTTTGTTTCATCTGAAATATGGGACAATAAAGATAATCCAGGTTTTATTTGGCCGAACCTTGACCCACCCAGAATGGTTCAACTTAATTTCTGATTAATTTGTTTCATGCCAGAAATAAAACATAGTTTTTGTTTCATGCTCACCTAGTAACAGTTCTATTGTTTGCTGTGCTAGTTAGCCCACCGTTGTGCTTTTATTTATTTACTTACTTACAAAATTTAAATGCTACCCCAATCTCACAACTCTGTAAGATGGACAGAGTGGATCTCAGATAAAGCAGTCTTCTCAAAATATACAACAATATAGCATAAACTAACAGACATCCCTCCCACTATCAAGGGATTAAATAATTGATGGTCCATGTAAAATTCAGCTCGTGTGGGGAAAAGGGGAAACCCCTTTCTTCTGGCTGCAATCCTATGCAGGCTTCAGAGGAGTAAAGCCTGCTGCACTTAGACTTTTTAATAAATATGCTTAGATTGAGAAACGCTGTTTTCATTCAACCTTAATAGAAAGTTTACCCTTGTCACTCACTTGTACTTGTCTGGGCCTATAAAACAAATCCCAACTTTGCATTCCAAGCCACAATATGATTGATTGATTGATAACTGTCACATACAAGTATAAAACCATTATATAAAAATATTTGAATTTCTCTG